TGAGGTTTAAGCCCATTTTGACACCCATAAGTGTTTAAATATTATAGTCTATTCTATTCTGTGGATAATCCATGAGCAAAAAGGCAACCAAAAAAAGTAAGGGGAGTTTGAAATCTAGGAAAGGCATTGTACCACATACTATATTATACTATACTATACTATATTATATTATATTATACTATATTTACCAGAGACATAAATCTTTGAATGAACATATAGTGTTTCCTTTGTTTTGGCAGTTCAGAATTTTTTTTTATTTGAGGTATTCTATTTAGGTATTTGAGGTTACGATTTTCACAAGAATTTTGACCAAAAATAATATTGCCATATTTAGATGTCAGATTGATTTAGGGGCCAAATAATGAACAAAAAACCAAAACTCGAGGAAATCGGATGAGATTTGACCGAGTTATGGGGGTGGGAAATTTTGTCCCATGTCTATATAGGATGTTTGAGGGTACCATTTTCACATGAATTTGGACCAAAAATATTGTTGTCCAGTTTAGATGCCAAATTGATTCAGAGGCCAAACCATGAACAAAAAGCGAATCTTTATGAAAATCGGATGACATTTGACCGAGTTATGGGGGTGGGAAATTTTGTCCCATGTCTATATAAGATGTTTGAGGGTACCATTTTCACATGAATTTGGAGCAAAAATATTGTTGTCAGATTTAGATGCCAAAATGATTCAGAGGCCAAACCATGAACAAAAAGCCAAACTTTATGAAAATCGGATAAGATTTGACCGAGTTATGGGGGTGGGAAATTTTGTCCTATGTCTATATAGGATGTTTGAGGGTACCATTTTCACATGAATTTGGAGCAAAAATATTGTTGTCAGATTTAGATGCCAAATTGATTCAGAGGCCAAACCATGAACAAAAAGCCAAACTTTATGAAAATCGGATGAGATTTGACCGAGTTATGGGGGTGGGAAATTTTGTCCTATGTCTATATAGGATGTTTGAGGGTACCATTTTCACATGAATTTGGACCAAAAATATTGTTGTCCAGTTTAGATGCCAAATTGATTCAAAGGCCAAACCATGAACAAAAAGCCAAACTTTATGAAAATCGGATGAGATTTGACCGAGTTATGGGGGTGGGAAATTTTGTCCTATGTCTATATAGGATGTTTGAGGGTACCATTTTCACATGAATTTGGACCAAAAATATTGTTGTCAGATTTAGATGCCAAATTGATTCAGAGGCCAAACCATGAACAAAAAGCCAAACTTTATGAAAATCGGATGAGATTTGACCGAGTTATGGGGGTGGGAAATTTTGTCCTATGTCTATATGGGATGTTTGAGGGTACCATTTTCACATGAATTTGGACCAACAATATTGTTGTCAGATTTAGATGCCAAATTGATTCAGAGGCCAAACCATGAACAAAAAGTCAAACTTTATGAAAATCGGATGAGATTTGACCGAGTTATGGGGGTGGGAAATTTTGTCCTATGTCTATATAGGATGTTTAAGGGTACCATTTTCACATGAATTTGGACCAAAAATATTGTTGTCAGATTTAGATGCCAAATTGATTCAGAGGCCAAACCATGAACAAAAAGCCAAACTTTATGAAAATCGGATGAGATTTGACCGAGTTATGGGGGTGGGAAATTTTGTCCTATGTCTATATAAGATGTTTGAGGGTACCATTTTCACATGAATTTGGACCAAAAATAATGTTGCCAGATTTAGATGCCAAATTGATCTAGAGGCTAAGCCGTAAACTAAAAGCTAAAGCTTCTAAAAATCGGTTGGGTTTTGACCGAATTATGGGAGTGGGAAATTTTTACCAATGTCTAGGGTAATAGCGGGTATATCCCACCCTTAAAGCTTTCATGTTCTTACGGTTTGGGCTGTAAGTTGATCATCAATTACTCAGTCAGTCAATCAGTCAGTCATCAGGACAAACACTTTTATTTATAGAGATTAATAAATTACCGAAAAAATTTATAAGATTTTCAAAAGAAAGATCCCAGAATTTTGTTGTTGTTGAGAAATAAACTTAAGATGTTAGAAATATTTAAAGTATAAGATTTAAAGCATAAGATTTACGAAAAAAAATACATCTCAAATGCAGATTAAAAATTTTTAAACTTATTCATGAGAATCGAACAAGAAAATATAAATATTTTTTTGAAAGGATTAAATTTCAGACCAAATGAACAAGTAAAGCTCAAGCTGGCATTAGGCTTAAAGATGGGAGATCATGTATACATTTTCTAAATATTGTTTTTGTTCAACTGAATTTTTCTGAAAACATATTAAAGCAGCTGCTCTAAATAGCCTATTCTAGTAGGTGCAAGTAATTAAGTTGAATGCCTTTGCGATTTCATGAAGGTGGCAACTCTTTTGGCTAAACTCAAGGAATTCCATGGCTTATTTGGGCTTTGTTTTTAACAGATTTTAGCAGAATCCTAAGCATTCCTTTGGCAGCCGAGCAACACTTTCAATTACAATGGTTGCAGCGGCGGCGGATGCTTTGTATACTTTTTCCTTGGCTTTGGCTTTGCCTTCGCCTGGCCAGGACCGTTTGCAACCTGCCCCTAGTTGAGTCCTGTTCGTGCAACAGACATTGTTTTATTTTTCCTTCTATATATTTGCTTTGCAGCATGCCTCAACATAGTCCCAGGCAGTTGCTGCTGCTGCTGCTGCTGTTGTCGCCAGGCGGGCTGCCTTGTGGCTGCCACACACGCAAAAATTGAGTTGCAAGAGCAGCGTGGATGCCACTGGCAGCAGCAGTTGTTCATTGGATGCCGACGCCTGTTAGTTTTGCCGGCTGCTTGCCGCTTTTCCGGCTGCTTTTCCGGGGCTTTACTGACAATCCGACTGCACCTCCCCTCCCTCCGCCCGATACCAGCCGTCCGTTTACACATTACGTGTAATCATCATTTTCTGGCTGGCAATAAACACATGCTGCCTGCCTGTTTGCAACTAGCCCCACAACAGCCCCACCCCCGCCCCTGTTCCGTACCCCTATACCAACCCCATCCCATTTATAACTGCCCCAAGTAACTGGACTACATTTTGCAGCGACGCCTTTGCCCAAGTGACGAGAAAGAGCGGCGCGTTGTAAACTGCCCCAAACCACCCCCAAAAACCAAACCTGCAGCAACCCACAGTCCCCCTCCCTCTCTACCCCCCATATCCCCGCTCTGTCTTGCAGCAACCGCTCGCACATTTCCATAGTGCCGGCGCCTGGCCATAACATGCATTTACAATTTCCAGTGCAGTGCACACTGCTCACATTCTTTACAGCATGCGATATTTTTATTGCATGCAAAATGCACAACCATCGACAACAAAAAAAGGAGCTGCAAACAAAAGGCCACAACTGAACGACTGACAGATGCCCTTTAACAGAAAATATGGATGGAAGAAGGCGCTTCAGCTATCCAAATAACTACGTCTCGACTGACTAACTGATTGATTGATTGACCGACTCCTTGACTGACTGGTAGACTGTCTGATTGCATTTATAAATGTAGGATTTCAAGTCTGGTTAACTTGCTGATTGACTGACTAACTGATTGATTGACAGTCTGATTGACTGACTGATTGACTGATTACCCAACTGACTGACTGATAAATTATTTGGTTGATTCTGATTGACTAACTGACTGCATGATTGTCCGACGGACTGACTGTTTGATTGACTGACTAACTGATTGGTTGACTGTCAGATTGACTAATTCATTGACTGATTAAATGTCTGATTGAATGACTGATTGACTGACTGACTAATTGGCAGATTGATAGACCGATTGAATGACTAGCTGACTAATTGCACGACTAAGTGACTAAGTGAATATCTAATTGATTGATTGACTGGCTGACTGATAGACTGACTGACTGATTTATTGACTGACTGATAGATTGACTTGCTGTCATAATGTGATTTTAGTGAAAATATAGATAAAAAGGTGGAACGTGGGTAATTGGTGTGGACAGTTAGGGGAAAACGGCTCTGATCAAAATCGGGTTGGCTTGAAACTTGCCTTAAATATGTAATTAGACCAATTCACTTCCATTGATTGTTTATAATAATATCCAATTTTAATATTTTCTTACATCTTTTACTTTGTACATTTCGAAATTTGGCCTAAGCTCCATCGCAATATACCCCATTTCAGTCACTGTGCAGGGTATATATATTTTTGCCAATGCTTTGGTTTGCCTCAGCGTATGCAAAATATGGCCAAAGGGCAGCCAAAGCGTGCGTTTGTTGAAAAAATAGAAGCTTTGATTAAATTTAAAAGGTTGCTAATGTTATTGGCCACGTGAGCGAAGGTACGGCAAAGGGAAGACGAGTGGAGTGCAGCTAGCAAAATGAATATGTTATGTGCCACAATAAATAAACTGGGTGGCGCCACAAATGCCCAGAGAACACTTGTCATACAATATGCATATTTCGATTGCAGTTCATAATTGATTTAGGTACGTGTGTGTGCTCAAGTATGCGTGTGTGTGTGTTTGTGCTCGTTTTGTGTAGGGACTAATCATGTAGGTCAGTTCGCGATTTGTTTTGCCTGTGCAGCAAGGCACACATCGGGTGGCAGCAAACAAAAGGCACAGATTATCAAGTGGCATGCAGCAAACAAACAACAACAACAGCAACAAATGCAAACAAATTCAAATCGAACTGACAAAAGATGCCCGCTGCCCCAGCTAAAGTAGCACACGGACACGCAGCAACAAGCTGCGCGCAGCATGACGCTGGCCGCTACGCAACATCCAGCAAATGTTGCTAGCTGGGTGCGCATGTTGCTAAGCGCGCACAAAATGTTGCTGAGCGTCGCTGCCTGCATATGTGTGTGCGCGCTGCATATGTGTGCAGTCAGCGTTGTGTGCGTGCGTTGTGTGTGTGTATGTGTGCTGCTGCTGCTGCCGTCGTCGTCGCTGCTGCTGCTGCTGCTGCCGCTGCGTGGCCGTTGGGCCGTTTGGCAACTTCATAGATACAGAACACACTCAGTCTGTTGGTAACTGTTGCATTCAACGCTTCGTTCGCTCCGCCAACCGATTTCCATTTCTCGTATCGACATTTTCCGTTCGTTCGCCCGTTCGTTCGTCTACGCTGCGACTCGTCGTGCATTTCGCTCGTGCGTTTATTTTGTTTGGAACGATTCGGTTCGTCGCTTCGTTCGATTTCGTTGTGTTTCACCCACACACACACGGACGCACACACAGAGACGCGCGTTTGTTTGTGTGCGCTTGGTATTGCCGGCAAAGCCGAATGCTTAACGTTCCACGCTCAACGTCATCAAATTCATAACGTCATTTCGTTTTGGTAGCGTGCGCTGTGCGTGTGTATCTGTAGCTGTAGCTGTAGCCGTGGCTGTCGCTGTATCTGTATCTGTGCCCGCATCGCTTAACGTAACTGCGTCTTGGGCCGCAGCCTAGTCAGCCGGACTTGCGTCTCACGCGTTTCTTCAGTGCCAATTGGCCAAAGCAAAAGCAAAAGCAAAAGAATTATTACAGTCCTTTGTGCCAGAGAATTTATAGAGTTGCGTTTATTTCGGAAACGAGTTCAAGAAACCCGCTCAAATTTTCGTCATCAAATGTGTGTTGACAGTGCGCGCTAAAAGTAAACACATATAACAAAACACATACACACACAAAATATATACACCATATAACACACACACACACACTTACACACTCGCACACACAAAGGCTGCAACGGCCGTAAAGTGCTCAGAGCCCGCCCCGCCCCGCGCTCGCGCCATACAACTCAACCAAAGCGACACATTTTATGCTTGGAAAGCCAAAGCACAACAACAAAAACAACAACAACAACAACTACAACAAAAATCAGTAAGCTCTTTGCCAAATACGCGAGAGTGAAAAAAAGCAACAACAAAAAAACCTCAAATAATAATAATAAAAAAGCGCCTTTGCCCCGGGCCAAAGTCACATAAAATACTTATAAAAGTGCACATATAAGGATTACAGGAGCAACACCCAACCAGAAGCAGAAGAAGAAGAAGAAGAACTATAACAAAATGTCACGGATCGTTTTTGTATTTCTGGCAGCCATTTTAGCAGGTAAGAAGAACTCAAGCCAAGAGCGAGAGAGACCCAGACCCAGACCCAGACCCAGCCCCAGCTCTAGACTCGAGATGATATCACGAGGCGCGAGTTTATTTTTAAGCGCTGATTGATACACACAACTTTTTCTGTTAATATCTATGCAGGTATTTCTGTGTGTGTTGGTGTGTGTGTGTGTGTGCATTTTTTATAGAAAACTTGTTCGCGCTAGAGTATGGAAATTTTTTCTACATCTCTTTATGGGCCATATTAGAATTTGATTGATGAACTTAAAGCTAAAAATAAAAAATATGACAAAAAGTCGTTTGAATACATCGTTTACGTTAACGTCGCGTGTCACGCGTGAGTTGGGACGCTTTTTTGGCGGGTTTTATTTATCCCATCGACTGACCTGTTTATACAAATTTAATTTTTGGACACTTGCGCGACTGCGCATGCTCGTAGGCTCCACAGCCGAAAGGCTTCGGTTACCTGTGAACCGAAGCCGAAGCTGGCTAAGCGAATGCACTGTGACCTTTTAGTGGGCAACAGCTTGGGCTTCGTTTTAAGCCGGAAAGGTCAAATATGCTTTGGTAACTCGGCTTTTAATGAAGCGATTGTATTGCAAGTTGTTTGTTCGTTTAACTCTTGAGCAACAGTTGAAGAAAACAATGTGTATAAATGTTTGGCATTAAAATTAATTTACTAAAAAAAAATATATATATTTTGAATGAATACCTGATTATATATTTCCATTTTAATTCAATCCCACTTCAATACGTTTTTATTGTATAATTAAATGCTTATATGTAGATAAAAAAACTTGTTTACGGAATGTGAAAAATGTGAAGACAATTTATAAACATTTTCTCAATTTTTTAAAATGTTATTGCCCTTTACTGAACCTCCTCAATATCATGATGTTTTTAAGTCTTCTGTAAAAGTTTCAAGTCGCACGTATTTTCTATTTTTAATTTCATTTAATGAAACTCTTAAATTCTTATTTATTTTTAAACGAAAGTCTTTAAGCCTTGTATTTCATGTATTTCCCAGTTAATTTAGCTTGGGCCAAAGCGTCTCTGAGTAGCTTTCGTACTTAGCCCTAGACATTCCATGTTTCGCAATCTTCAATATGCTTGGCTAAATGAATAGCTCAAAGAGTTATGCGTACAATAAAGGTGCTCATGATACATGCCAGCAATTAAAAGACGAAATCCTTCTCAAGTATTACTTTCAGTTCTCTCTGTTGTATGTGCCTTAAAGTGCCGCCCCTCAGCCACCCCCCCGTCGGGGTTAAATTTACAACTTGCCAGCGCCTAGCAGCCTATTTAATTAAAATCCTTCAATGTTTTTCAGCTTTTTTTTCTCTCAATTTGTTTTTTTGCTGTTTTCGGTTCGGAGCCTCGTCTCTTATTATGCCACACAAAATTTTGCGGGCCCCTGCAGTGAGGGCCGCACATGGCGGCTCCCATTCTCATTAGCTGAAAAGAAGCTGCTGCTGCTGCTGATGTTGATGCTGATGCTATTTATGCTGATGCTGGCTAACAACATTAACAGCGTCGAGCGGCATATGAAGCAGCAGCAGCAGCATCTGTCTCATTACAGGCAGCTCCAAACACACACACACACACACACTCCCCTTCCCCCCTTAGCCAACCCATCCGCCCACTCAGCCAAGGCAACCCCGACGAAACACGAACATGACGTGACTTTAAGACAGACAGTTTTTGTTCACGTTGTGCTAAGCCTCTGCCGGAGGCAAAACCTTTCAAATGGCGCCCAACGTGTGTCGAAAAGCAACCCCTCCCCCCTCGCGATGCGCCTTTCTCCCACCACATGAAAAGCCTCGCAAATTGTATGCAAAGCAAAAAATCCCCTGCAAAACAAGCCAAAAAATGCAACAGCATATCCAGCTACAGCTAGAGCTACGGCTTCTGATTCAAATTCTGATTCGGATGCGGATTCAGTTGCAGCTGCAGTTGCTTCAGTTGCTGCCGCTGCAGTTGCAGTTGCAACTTGATGCAGCTCAGCTCAATGCACCCGCTGCCACTTTGCGCTGAATACGTTAAAGTTGTTTTTGTTTTGTTTACTTTTTTGTTTACTCCTCTTTTAAGGTCCAAACACACATCAGTGCTGTAATTATAAATGTTTAATGGGCTGCTGGCTGCCTGCCCCTTGCATTCATAGAGACCAAGCAAGGAGGGAGTGGGGGGAGCGGGGGTTAGGAGGTAGGGAGGTAGGTCGTGTTCGTGTGTCCAGGCTGTAGTTTTTTCGCCCTCCTTCTCTATTTAAACTTTCTGCACACGCGGCGTATTAGTAATGCCACAAAATAACCAAATGTCAAATGCAAAAATTGCTTACAGCTTATGCATTTTAATGGCCGCAAATTGTGGCAACAGCATGCAGCCCCCTCTCTCTCCTCCCTCTCCCTCTCTCGCAGTCTGTCTCTGTCTGTAATAAATAAAATGCCAAACAAAAAGCATGCATAGAAATAAATATTTGATGTTTGCCTTGGCAAATGCCTCCGGCTGCATTTGCTCAGCAACTGATTTTGGCAGCAGCCGTAGATAAGACTTCTTTATGCATTACTTGTAAAGTGATATATGAAGCTGCTTGAGCATGTGTGTGTGTGTGTGTGTGGCAATTGTTATCGATACTGCATATGATATGAACTTTTATGTCATAGGCAAATAAATCAATTACTGATTCCACGTGCTTTTAGATTTTTAAATAAACTTTTTATAATGAATGCACAAATATAAAAAATATTTAAAATATTTTCTAAATTTTTCAAAATTAATAATTCAATATATTTGCATATTAATTAAAAAAAGATTATACACCTTATTAATTACCAGCCAATAAAGACAAATAAATTCTATTTTAAAAAAATATATTTTAAATTGAAGAGAAAATATATTAAAAAATATATTAATCAAAAGTTATTAAGCTTAAAAATTTGTATACGTAATAAAAGTCCATATTTCATTTCCTAAATATTAAAATAACTCGAAAAAACGCTTAATATATTTCAGATTAATTTTAAAAATAATAAAAAAATATCTACAAAAAAGTCCAAGTCAACATTTCCCATAAAAAAGTGTATTTGCTGTACAGTTCGTGTTGGCTATGCATTTGGAAGTGTATTTAAATAGTTTATATGCCTTGTACCATATTCTTTCAGTGTTGCTTCGTATGGTAATTGCATGTGCTGTGCCCGTATAAGAAGAAGCAGAAACAGAAGCAGCAGCAGCAGCAGAGAACTGAGAGACAACATTCTCATTCATATTCATAACAACGTCGTTTCGTTAGAGTTTTTGCATTGCTTTGTGCCCGAGCCTGGAATTGGCATAGGGTTTGGGTTACGGCTCGGACCTTTCGGGGCCCACAACTTTTTGTAACTGAAACTGAAACTGGAAGCAGAGCAATCGCTCTTGCCCCCCCGCCAACCCCCTAGCAATTCGCAGGTGAATGCGCTTAAGACAAAGGCTTAAACGCGCCTTCGGCTACGCTTCTTATGTGCAGAGTGTGTCCAGTCGGCTCTTCTTCACTTTTTTCCCCCTTCTGCTGCTGCTGCTGCTTTATTCAATTTCCGCTTTTTAATTGCTTTCCGCCTCCTTTTTTTGTTTTTTTTTTTTTTGACGCCTTCAAATTTGCAGCTCATTTGGTCCGTTGCTTTGGGTCTGTTTTGGATGGGCTTCGGTCAGGCTGGCAGCTCTATTGATTTTCTGTTTAATTCTCCATTTATTTGGCCTAAATGTAGTTGTGTTTCCTTTTTTGGCCATTTTTCCTGTCAGTTTCAGCGCATTAACGGAAGCGTTTGCGTTGCCCGTAATGATGGCTGAAATGTTTCAGTTGGCGGCAAATAAAATAAACAAATTCGTGACTAATTTGCCGAAAAATGACGGAACAATGTCAGCAACAGCAACAACGAGACACAAGTTTTTTGCATGCATAAAATGCAACTTTGTGTAACGGTTTATATGTCACTGTGTCGTCTGTGTATGTGAGTGTGTGTGAGTGTGTGTGTGTGAGGGGCACAGGAAGTTGGCAATGCTTTGGGCCATGTTGGAATTTCGGGCAAAAGGCACACACAGATCGCTGTGTAGCCTGCGCATGTGAGAGCGAGAGAGACAACACCAAAGAGTACAAGCATTAAGACAATATGCTGCGATATTGACAAAGCGTATGCCAGGCAAATTAAATATAATAGCAAAGTATATGTGTATGCATATAACAAACAACGAAACAGTTGCGAGACAATAAAGAAAAGTTGCCAGCGGATATAGAAGTTTTCTAGGGTGTGTGTGTGTGTGTGTGCAGTTCCTTAAGTAGAGCAGAGTTTACAATTTACGTAGGCGAAACTTTTGATCGATTTGTACGCATTGTCTTTAGGGGCACGTACACGAGTACTTTGAATACGAGCTGTCTGGCAGAAAAGTTACTTTTAAGTATATCGAATGATTGGCACAGACAGGCGCAGATATAAGCCCGAGATACAGTTCGAAACTGTAGTCACAGCATTGCGTTGGCAGTCAATTAAGAGTAGTATGCGTAGTATGAGTCATAAATACGCGCAGCGTATGAAACTTCTACTACTCGAAGCTCACACGTCTTTTGCTCACACTACTCATAACTACTCACAGCTCATGCTTGGATTACTCAAACTATTCATACTTCTGGATATATTTTAATTAACTCTGATAATCTTTAACTTTATTTGACTGCCATATTCATTCTTGTCGAGTGCTTACTATGTACTTACACTTATTTTACTCATTTATGTAACCAACAACTTGGTGTGAGTCGAATGCTTAGTGAAAATACGAGTCAGTACAACTCAGAACTTATACTAGTATTTATGCTATAAAGTAATGGGCATCTCGCATTCGACTCTAATACTCTTACACTCACTCACTTGCGATTGTCTACTGTACCTTTCATTCATAGTACTCATTATGTACTCATATTCAAACAACTTACTGATCTATAATAAAATGTTGTCCTGATTTACAAAG